ATACATTTTTCGATCAAAAGTACCCTGGACAGCCTTAAATGTGTTTTCGATGCATTTAGGGGGAAATCATCGTTGGGTGCCCCTGAGTTTTGAGAATAATAATAATAATAAAAAAAGATATCGCGCACATAAATTTTACCTTACGATATCTTCAGCTGTATCTTCTATTCAGCTGCATAGCGGGGGCCAGATTTTGCCTTTTTCCTGGGCGGAAAATTCTCGTCCTCCTTCACCAGTTTGGACAACATATTATGGAGTAAGACGTTGTTAATCTAAGCAAATAAGTCTGGTAGAGTCAAGAACCTATGCAAGCGGCTGGACGAACAATGTGACAGCAGCTGAGACAGCGAACGTTAGAAGAATTCGAACATGAAAACCAGGGCTGCCCTGTTGAAAACTTACGGACGGTCCCGCGATCGCCTTTTGTTTTCTGGTCAAAACTAACGCAGCGAACCTTCGGTCAGTCGATTGACCTGGAAGCAATAGTACCATCCCTCCCATAGCAAGTGCTGCATTGTTGCGCGAACGCGGTCGCTAAGCTTGAATATTCACGTCGCGTATTAAACCTGGTCGTTTGCGGTCATATCGAAGCGTAAAGGTCAACAGTGGTTGTTGATGAGCGAGCAATTATTGTGCAGTTGTGATGGGTTTTGTGGAGCAAGCGAGCCAGAAGCAGGAGCACACGTTACCTGCAGATTAGCCGATGGTTATTTGGAGCGGATTCGTCGATTATTCTCGAATTTATAGCGCTTCGTGTGAAGGCGCGTGGAGATGGTCTGTTTGTTTTGTAGCCAGCCTTTAATTCTTCTTTAGTGGATAGTACCTACAATTTCAAAACTCAACAAAATGCCACTTAAACCGGCCAGGAAAGACAAGGATACGTTCAGTTGAAGGTATCTTAGCTTTGCTTTGTTATATTTTGACTTTTAGACTATTTTAGTCCATGGGAGTTTCGACGACTCATCGCATTAATTTGTCCATGTGGATATTAATATATTCATTCAGTAACACATACTACGTCTGGGCAGCCTGTGCTCTCACAACCTCTCCTTAGTAGCGCACAGAGTCTCTTATCCCTTCCCATCACCCCCTGCTTCCGCCGTGCGCGTTGGTGCGAAGACGACTGGGGACGAGTCAGCGATTGAATCACGTTGTACTTCTCTAACCTCTGCCTGAACTTAACCTGGACAATAACTATGGAAGCCAACATCTGGCTGAAAATCCAACAAGATTTTCTGAGCGTTATTATACTACAGTGGAAACTTCTTGAACCTCCCCCAGCCCACCACTTTAACTGGGGCTACCCTCCTTTTGCTACGAGCACTGCATCCTCTTAGCCTCAGTCGAGGTCAGCCAATCTCCCTTTTGAAAAAAAAAAACACTACTATTTCCAGGGATGTACTGAAATTTCCACGGCAGTTCCTGAGTAGGCCATTTTAAAAAATTTTTAGGCCTTTTTGTCGTTTTTTTTTTTTGGTTTTTTGGTGTTTTTCTCTTTGTGTGTTTGTTTTTGTTCGTTTTTTACAAACTTACCGTTATGCAGATAACTTAACTACTGACCTTCTCGACTACTAGTTTTTAACATACAACCAGAGACGCAATAAGCAGTTAACTTAAACAGCACAACCGACAATCAACTCAAATATAAAAATGTTACGATAAAATAATCAACTTCATCTGGCAGTTTCAAACTTAAGAGGTAAATACTTAAATAAATACTAAGATTATATTAAAACCTACAATTATATGGATATGAATTGCACTTTTTAAGGACATCACATTTGGTAAATAAAATAAACATTACAAACATAAAATAGAGTCTTTTTAACTTCTATGATAAACATCTCATTAAATCTAATAATACTAATTCAGATCAAACTGCAATTAAATTAATCAATTACACACTTCACTGTTTTAACCTAAAATTTAAGAACATCATAGCATAACAACCAAGAACATAAGTTAAATAAAACACTTGGATACAGCTGAATCTTCAAAATTCACGATCACGTTAATACAACAAATTAATAAATATCACAGAAGGATTAACATGATATATTCTCATAAGGAAACAATTTAACTGATTCAATACTGCATTTTAAGGCCACCTACATTGCTTAAGGTGGCTGAACACAGTTTTGGCAGTTTGTGAGTGTACGTCATTTGCCAAATCATGGCAAGAGAAAGGTTGCAGCTCACAAGCTGAAACTTGGCAAGTGAAAAATATACTGATTGAAGATTTTGATTGACAGGTAAAATTTGACGTTTTCTTAGATTCCATGGCAACATGAAAGATTGAATACAACCTTAAAATTTCACTTTTTGCTCAGTTTACATAAAATTCGCTCATTGGATTTTCCTATAAACTTGCACACAGCTTACTATAATTAATCATTACCATTTGAAACTTATTTGACCAAATTTTTACAGACGGGTTTTTAGATAATCAAAAATATATTTGTACTGCAATTATTAAATGTGTCGCAAACTTTGCCTATGCAACTTCCATTTTAAAGCTCTCATTATTTAAAATACGATAAAAGTAAAAATTCTGCCAAATATCACAAAATTTTAATGAGTAGATTTTGAGAAATCTTCTTTAGTGAACCATTGCTTTTTCGCCCCCATGTTTATTTGTCTAATTTAAAACACGCGCCGTCTCGTTAGTTACCGCTGACCGCCCGCAAAACTGTGTTCAGCCACCTTAAAAAACGCAAAAAAAGCAGCTGGGAAAAAGACTATGTTTTTTACACTACTTGAAATTAATGTAATTAAGTTGAGAAGGAACTAATTTCGCTCTAATCGAATGTGTAACATTTCAAATGACTTAATATCTTACACTCATTACATTGTAATGGAGGAGAAAAGCACTAAACAATTGCTTGACGTAAAACGACGAAGCAACTATATTTCATTTTTAAGGGTGGATCCAGCAGTTTTGAAGTGAGCAAAGAAGCGTGGCTGATACTAATAAACTGTAGATATTCCACTAAATTATTTAACACCTGAGAACTGCGACATTGTAAACCACTGCAACTTGAATTAAAAAAAACAATGTGTACAACTTGACATGAAAAAACTATAACTTGCATGATTTAAGAAAAGTGACAAGAAAACCATGCGGTGACGGAGATATGACAAAATGATTACCACTGTATAGAAAAGTGTCTTGTCAAGATAATTAATCAAATTAATACTCTATAACATTTAAAAAGAATATGTGGTATCCACCCAATCTAATGATAACTGAAGCGATTGCATGTCGGTAAAAGCGATACGCAGTGTTGCTAAATCATACAAATCAACTGAAAACGTTGCTGTACATACAATTCCATTATGCTTATCTCACTGCACTTAAAGATAAGGAGCTTTTCTATTCAATCAATCAATCAATCAATCATTTATTTTAACACGTTGCGTCAAAGAGCTAAAAAACTCGTTCAAAATACGAACGTGTATAAATAAAATCTATAATAACTACAGCTATATAATATTATTCAATTTTAGAAACAACTCAATAAATATATACATATAAAAAACTTGGTAATAAAAACATAAAATATAAAAAGCTAAAACCGACTAAAAAGCCACATACTATTGCTGTATAATATACACTTGTAACTTTCTGTATGTTAACAAGAAAAATCTGTTGACCAATTCTGTTAAGACGCAAATGATTCCCCATTAAAAATCATTCTGTATAATTATTATTAGTAAAATCCAACTAGTGGTCTATTTTCAATGCTGCGTTCTGATTGGTTGAGCAACTACTAGGCTATATGTTATAGCCTACTAGTGGCGAAAAGCGCGGGCTTTTTGGCGGTTAAAAAGGGTTAAAGTCTAGCTTTAACTAGCTAAAAGTTTTTTATTCTCGATATTTTTGACCAACTAGTTGGATTTTATTAAAACAATTATTCCTCTCGCCCGAATGGGCTCTGAGTCAATAGCCCATCAGGCCTTCGGCCTCATGGGCTATTGACTCAGAACACATTCGGGCAAGAGGAATAATTGTTAAATATCCCGTACCAACAATTTTTAGCAAAACCCAGCACCAACCAATATAATTCACCCTTAAATATTAATTAAATAAACCCCATATTAAACAATACACCCCGCACTATTAAACAATACACTAAACAATACAACTGAGGAGTGGGGTTGTTCTGCAAAAGCGAAAAACAACAATACACATAGAAAGGCGTGGTAAAAAATATGATCGTAAGAACGAGGAATTTTCTTTGCTACCAACAAACAAGAACGTGATTCTCCAATAACGAATCTGTGCATATTGCACATTGTACGAGGAATTGGCTGTAGAGACTCGGCTCACTTAAAGGATAACGAGTTGTATTTAAACTGCTACAAGTAGTCAGACTTCAAAACATGCAAAATGTTTTTTGAGTAAGCATACAAAATATTTAAAATGCTTAAGAAAATTGGTTTACAAGATTTTGTTGATGTCTTTCTTAACATTTTAAGTAATATATCAAGCATGGGATGTAGTGTTTCATCACCAGATGAAACACTGAAAAGAGAGTTGAAAATACGACGCGCAGCGGAGTATTTTTTACGAACTTACAGGTGTCTCATTTGGTCATGAAACACTGTGTCGAATGCTTGATATTACTTCTCAAAAAAAATGATTTTAGAAGGAGAAATTAAGTATGCAAAAATGAGTAGTTTTTCATCTGATTCCAAACACTCATTTGACATTAATTTCCTTTGTATTTTCTTTATGAATTATTAACGAGTTTGAGAAACACACATACCTTCTCTAGCGTTTGTTGACTTTTATTCTGTTTACGCAACGCCCACCGTCCACTCCTTTGTACAAAGTATCTAGTAGACATTTAAATAACTGTTTGTTACTCTACCTAGATCTTCTACTTGACTATCTGTCTATCTATCTAATTATCTAATTTATGTTTCCACTATCTACCTAAATGCACTCTCAAAAATAGACACACTCTTAAGAAAATTACCCTTGAAAGGGTCAATTTTCAAGGAAGCCTTCGGCTCACCAGCCTCTGTGCAAGACGCAATAATTCCCCAATAAACCGCCACAACGTATTAAGGGAGAAATCGTGTTGCAGTAGTGTTGCTTCTAAGCGCTCCACTTTCCCCTCCAAGCGCTCAACACGATTTCTTAACATTGCATTTTCTTGTGTTTGTGCTAAACTCACTTGTTCAATCCCATTTATAGCTTCAGATAAGACGACGACCAAGGCTTTTACATCAGTAACCAATTCCTCTTGCTTTTTGTAGTGTGTTATCAAGGCCCAACTATGCGCTGCAACTTCACTTTTCACTGCGAGGAGGCCTTCACCAATTCCACCTTCAGAAGGAGCGACTGCTTCTCTTTCCTGAGCAACACTTTCCATCAGGGACAACAGAATGAGTTGGTGCCCAGCAACACCTTCTGACAAATGCTTTAACAAAGATTCTCGGTTCAGCAAATCCTGTTTGTTTCAAACAAAATATGTGTATACACCTATTTCAATTAAGGTTGCTTCAGAGAAGAATAATGGACGATTCATGATCCATGTTTTGTAGCCCACGGTGCATTATTGTAGAAAGTCTAGAAACCTATAGAGCAAAAGCTGCTGACGCTTCTATGCTACACGTCTATGTCAGCAGAACGTTAAGACAACGTATTTCAGAACACTGAATCCTAGGCTTTTTAATTTAAGACGGTGATTTGAGGTTAGGTTTTTCTCTGTGGTAATATGCAAATGCTGCAAATTTTTCAACGAGTTTGCTTGGTTCGTGCACGTGGGAATTTTGGATGGAGTTAAAAAAAAATCAAATTCAGCTGAGACGTTTGTTGAACTACAATAAATAACTTAACATCAAGCGTTTATGTATTTTTGAGGCAATTTTTTAAAAAAGAATGCTAGCGTTTTTCTTTATTGAAATAACCAGCATTCTGGCCTATGCAAAAACGCAGCTTAATCAGGCGGTAAAACCCTATTCATTTAATGTTGCTAAAAAAGACGCTTCTAATTTCTTAATGTGAGATTTTAACAATGAAATTCTTCAGCTCGCTCATGCTTAAGAATTTTAGCAGCCATTTGACTTGAAAGCTCTCTTAAACGCCTTCTCACAATTGGTCTTCATTATTTCAATGAACGTGAACAAGACTGAACTTCCCGCTACAAAAGGATTTACCATAGTGCACTGAAGGTTAAGAAACATGGTTCACGGGAGCAACCTTAAATGAAATAGGTGTTTCAAAGTAGTCTAAAAATGTGTTGACCTTTACACAAGGGCAAACACCCACATACAAACTTACATCACATGAACATCCGTGAGTTCTAAAAGGACAATACATTCTGTTGCAGTCTCCTTTAAATGGGTGACTATGCAGAAAAAGCTGTGGGAAAACAAACAAATATTTACTTTTTAGCGATTTATTTTCCCTCTTTTTTTTCACTTATTCATTTTGGCCGTTCTTTGTCGTTTAATCATCTATACCAAGTGTAATAAAATACTATATTAAATCAGAACACAGCAGTTTTTAAAATAAAATCATTTTTGGCTTACAATTCCGAATCGACCTGCGCTCTTATTGTCTTTAATGGGTTTTCTCGGGCTACATGGATGGGAGTTAAGGAAAAACAAAACCTAAATCAGTCACCATAATACTAGCAAAAAAGGATGGAAGGACAAAGCAATCCACAAAAAAAAAAAGAAAAAAAGAGACAAGGAAAAGAAAACACATTTCGGACAAATCTATTGATGCTGCACGTCAAAGCATGTGAAAGACAAAAATTAACCCTGGATTATTTCCAACAGGCGGCAAGGCGAGAGAGACCTTCTTGCCTTGCCACCAGATCGGGGTGGGGGCAAACAAATGCCCGATGACATTTCAGACTACAATATACATGTACTTACTAAAAATAATGTATCAGGTTAAATTTGATTTCAGGTTAAAATTCTTCAACCTAGGTTGATTTTCAATCTCCTTTGTCTCCTAGGGCTTGGAGAATTTCACCCGAAATCAAGTTTGACCTTTAACAACCATAGGATATTTTAGTAAGTAAAGTTCTTGAAAAAGAAGCATATTGCACTTTCGAGGAAACAAACTCTTTCCCCTCAGTATTCTCCTCTTTTCTCACAATCCTTGTCAACGTCTTAGCTTATTTTATAGGCTAGGGACATCCCTGCCTTGCTTTTCACTAATGGATCTCGACCCAGTTGTCTGGGAGATTTTAGAAAAAGTGACAAGTGATTTGAGCAAAAAAGATTTCCAACCAACCTTTCCACGTGGTATGTCGATTTTCCCACATCTGTCACATGTAACAGGGACATTAGGACAATTTTGTTCATGTTCCTGAAAGAGATATAAATATTTGATACACTGTACTGTTAAAAGTCCACACCCAGCTAGTTCAATCTATTATGCATTCACAAACAGCAATTTCATTCTGCACATGGAATTCCATGCCATTCCAGAGAATCAGTATATCATGTTGTCACGTTAAACATACCAGGGTATGATGTGCATACGCAATACTAATCATTGATTGCTTGATGTTGTGCAAATAAACATAGAAAAATTAAACTATAAAAAGTTATCTAAATGCAATAAAAAATTTTTTACAAAACAGTGAATGTATCTAGCCCAGGGATCATTTCATAAGTATTTAAAGAAAATAATCGCCCAGGTGAGTGTAGGTCTGTTGCTGTGAGATTATATCATTGTCCAATAATAAAATAATTCTGTTTACTTGGATTTGCTACCCTGCATTTCACAAGAAGCTGAACTCTAGTTATGTTCATCTAAGAAATTACGCCAAAATTCTTGCTCTGGGCCCCCACCTGTGTACTAGGGGATTTGAGTACACATTACAAAAGCAATAATTGTTTATTTGCCAGTCATGGTGAAGAGAAATCACTAATTTGTTGGGCTGTGTCTGTTGGGGGCCCAGAACAAGAAAATTGGCTTTACAGACAAAATACTAATCGAGGTTGAATTTCATCTGCGGTGCAGGCTAGTATTTTCATGTAACGTTCATAATGAAGCAAAGGTTGCACTCACTTGATATGCGTCCCAATTCATAGAGGAACCACAGTACTCACACTCTACTTGACGGTGGGGACACTCTTGCTCTTTATGCTGTATCAGTTGATTTGCTGGCACTGTAATTGTGCAGCCATCATTCCCACAACGTAAAGGTCTGTATGGGCAACTACATTGATGAGCCTATGAGGAAATAAGGAAATAGTGGACTTTACTGATATTAATATTAATAATATTATTATAAATATTCAAGTATTCTGTTTTTCATTGGCAGAAATACCCCTACTAATTCTCCATAGCCAGCTTAAGTACTGACCGGTCAATTAATGAAGAAGTTTGCCAATGTCAATATATATGATTGACATCAATCAACAGAAAAAGGGAAGCTCAGACACCACACAAAGAAGGGGTGCAGTCTGGCTGCCTGGAAAGTGTAGAGATGGAGAACTAATTAAATGCCTCAAAGACACAGCATGAAAACAAAATACATATACATTTTTGTTACACTCAAGTATAAAGAATCGGCAAACGTTTTGAAGACACACAAATTACAGGAGCTTAACATCAAGGGAAGCATGTTTTGAAACAACCAAAACTAAGTGCCACTTATAAAAAATATAATGCAAAACAAAAAACAATGAAACAAAAACACCTTGCAAAGCACAGGAGAAGGACCCAGCAGTTAAGGATAATATAGGGGAAAAATCACTAAAGAATGGGTTTTGACAAACCACTGAGGACCCCCTTTTACCCTACTTTAGTATACTACAGTCATTGTACAAAATGGTCATGTAGTTAACCTCCAAAGTGCACTCCTTCCCACATAAATGCCAAAACGTTGTACCGTCATGACTTCAACTGTAAAATTATTAATATCAGTGACTATCTCCTATACTTACATCAATGATTTTCAATTCACCACTCCAGTTACATCCAACAGCTATGTTTCGACAGTGGACAGTTTTACCTTCAATCTCCCTCCTTAGGCAGTTGTCAGGAAAATACTGTTTCAGATAACAAAACACATAATGTCAAATTTAATGGCTCTGATCTCCATAAATTTATACATGTAGGCTTAACTATAATAACCAGCAGTGTTTACATCATTAGGNGAAACAACCAAAACTAAGTGCCACTTATAAAAAATATAATGCAAAACAAAAAACAATGAAACAAAAACACCTTGCAAAGCACAGGAGAAGGACCCAGCAGTTAAGGATAATATAGGGGAAAAACCACTAAAGAATGGGTTTTGACAAACCACTGAGGACCCCCTTTTACCCTACTTTAGTATACTACAGTCATTGTACAAAATGGTCATGTAGTTAACCTCCAAAGTGCACTCCTTCCCACATAAATGCCAAAACGTTGTACCGTCATGACTTCAACTGTAAAATTATTAATATCAGTGACTATCTCCTATACTTACATCAATGATTTTCAATTCACCACTCCAGTTACATCCAACAGCTATGTTTCGACAGTGGACAGTTTTACCTTCAATCTCCCTCCTTAGGCAGTTGTCAGGAAAATACTGTTTCAGATAACAAAACACATAATGTCAAATTTAATGGCTCTGATCTCCATAAATTTATACATGTAGGCTTAACTATAATAACCAGCAGTGTTTACATCATTAGGAAATGATTGAAAAATTGATAATAAAATTGAACCTCTGACTGATAGTAAAAGTGAACCTCTCTAATACAGACTAGACACCCTGATCCAAAATGGATTAGTGTTACAGGGGTTTCATTTCAGGCCGGACGCCAGACGCAATGTCCGGTTGTTTGACATGTAACATCTGGTAGTTCACACACGAAATAATAATTTTTTTAAGTGTGAAACTCGTTTTTTTTTGCCATATATTAACCAAACAAAGACATGACCCTTATTTTACTCACTTAGTTATGTAATGCATACAATCGGAAAAAAAAAGAGATAATTCCTGTTACCCAATTCTGGTCCAGGGAACACAGGACCCCCCTAGGAGTTCATGCCTCTGGCACTCAACGTTGGTGCTGCTGGTGTGAGCGGTGCACATCCGCCAGCTGAACTGCATCCGGTACTTATTCCAAATGTTGCTGAAAACCCTGGTGTTATGCTCACCTGGGAGCTCCAGGGCTGCCAGTTAGAGTACTTGCTAGCCTGCAAAAACATCCGTTTCTCCTTGCTCTTCGTAGCTGGGGACGTTTGGCGCGGAGGAACGTCTGCAACTCAGCGGCAGAAATTCCATACTGATGACGCAAATCAATGTTTAAGTAATAAATCCAGTAGTCATGCGGTTCCAAGTATAAATTTGTCCAATTTTATGTGTCCTCTGGTCGATTTTGGTAAAGTGTTGTGTTCATCTGCGAAAGAGCTCTAGCAAAACTCAAATACTTCTTCTAGAGAAGACTATATTCCACAAAATAGTACTGACTGTTTTGTCAAAGATTCTTCACATTTACATTTGACCCCTGTGGCCTTTTGTCTGTCAAGACTGTCATTCGTAAACAATAGCTAAAACAATGTAACTACTCTGTCGACCAACCAGCGCTTCTGACCGGATTCCGGACAGATTTTACGTCATCAGTATGGAATTTCTGTCGCTGAGTGGGAAACATTTCTCCACGCAAAATGTCCCCAGCTGCAAAGAGCAAGGAAAAACGGATGTTTTCGCAGGCTAAGCACGGGCCTGGGGATTTTCCCATGGCTACAAGCGTGAGCCTGTGGCTACTTTCATAGGAAACAAAAGGAAAACAGAACCACAAGAACTTCCTGGCTGTACAATTCCCCTCCTACTTATTTCATATACCCGGCAACTTGAAATTTTAGCGATAGCCCTGGAGCTCACATCAAGAATACAGTACTTTAAAATAGCTATATAGACACCTTGGCAGTATAAACATTTAAAGTTGTACTTTATATTGCAGCATGGAGCAAGGTCAGGGGATGGAAATTAAATAGATACCAAAAAGGGGATGTGCATTCACGGGCTCAGCATGGGATGTACACTATCAGTTAACTATGAAGGAATTAAGCCAAGCAAGGAGATGTGGCATGATTGGAAAAAAAGAATACAGTGTGCAGGTGGAAGAAACTGGACTGGCCTCTCAGAACACTGCAGATCAAAAACAAATTAAGAGTTTGGACATTACTGGAGTGAGAGCTTTAATAAACACCAAACCAATTTCCTTTTTGTTGATGTTGTTGTTGTTTTTTTATGTTTTGCTCTCTGCATTACTTGCCCACAGTCACTTACCTGAGTGTGTTGTAAAGGCTTTTTACACTTCACACAAACTGGGTTTACTTGGCTGTAATACAAACAGAACTGATTTTAATGTTATTATAATGGTAATACGACAGAATGGAGCCCATTTTGGTCTTTGATTGAATGAGTGGTTAACAAAATCAGAAGACCACGTAGCAGGAGTTCAATAATCACGCGTATGATTACAGACCAAATTGGACGACAGAAAGTTTTATCATATAACTACAACAAACATTTGTGATATTTTAATCTTCTTCTAAATAAAAACAAAAGAAATATTCCAAAAGTTTTGTTGTTAGCAGTGGAAAAAGCCATTTAAGTGCGCATGCAATGGCGCGTACTATCCAATTACTTAGGCATGACATGTACTGTCCTTCATTGGTTGTATTAGTGCTGAAATCAGGAAAGTTGATAGTCCATAAGATTTGAAAATTTTATTATAGTAATAATTACTATAAAATTTTCAAATCTGATTGGCCATCAACTGTCCTGATTTCAGCACTAATACACACAATGTAAATCTTTCTATCATTTTTTTCTTTTTGTGCAATATATGCATTGAATTGAAGGCAGGTACAAAAGTCGGACCGGATCAACTCGGACCTCCAGTCCGGGTCGGATCAACTCGGATCGACTTGGACCAACTCGGATCGAATAAAAAAGTAAAAATAAAATAAAATTGGACTCGGATCAACTCGGAGCAATCAAAAAAATTACATTAAATCAGCAAAACTGAAAGTTTAACCCATTTGGAGGGTAAAAAAGGCCAGATCATCCCTTTTTTCTCCGTGGCTTTCAGGCGCCATTTTGTTTTACTAGTTGCCAGTTCCTCTCGGACCATGTTATAGGTTGCGTTCGGCACGACGCACTCTGCTTCACAGATATGGCTTCTGAAACTTAATTTTAATGATACACTAGTGAGCAGCACACATACATTTCCAGTGAACATTTTCAACTTGGAAGGAGGAGAAACCATGCTCGCCGGGGACAAAGGAAATTTCCACGCCCCAGGCAAGAATCGAACTCGCGACCCTCCGGTTCAGTGTTTGGAGCGTCCGATAAACATGTAGTATTCGGAGGGTCGTGAGTTCAATTCTTGCCTAGGGTACGAAAATTTTCGTTGTCCCGGGTGACCATGATTTCTTCTCCTTCCAAGTTGAAAATGTTCACTGGAAGTGTATATGTGCTGCTCACTAGCGTATCATTAAAATTAATAAAAATAAAAATTAATTTAATTTACGCAACCACGAGTTCGTAACAACAAAACAAAATGGCGGGTGAAAGTTGAGTGATACCGACTGATTTCATTTTTCTTTTTATAATCCGAGTTTTTTTTTTATGATTCGAGTTGATCCGAGTCCAATTGTATTTTATTTTTATTATTTATTCGATCCGAGTTGGTCCGAGTCGATCCGAGTTGATCCGACCCGGACTGGCGGTCCGAGTTGATCCGGTCCGACTTTTGTACCTGCCTATTGAATTGAACCAAAACCTTCTAAAAAAATGATCATAAATTATTATGATCATTTTTTTTTACAAGGTTTTGGTTCAATTCAATGCATTGCACAAAAAGAAAAAATGATAGAAAGATTTAACGTTCCAAATATATGAACGAATCTTTTATTCTATGAAAAGTATAATTTACAATGCAGCACTTGATCAAGTTTCCATGTCAATTAGCCATGTGAAAGTGAGCAGCAAAATACAAAAAGGCCTGATCATGCAGGGCTCAAAATAACGGACAGCAGGTTGCCGGTCCTGATGACTGGCCAAATATTTTTTAGCCTGGACAAACCCCAATTTAAGGTGAAAAACTTTCACCCCAAGTAGGTGAAAAATTCATTGACACGTTCTTGAGTTCCTTTCCGCGGTTTTTGCCCATTTTCATGTCTGTTATAGCTTGAGTATCATCGTACAGTGGTGTCTGAAATCCCCAAGGTTCGTCCCATATCTGCATATCAGAAAAACTTGATCCTTTTCATTGCCCGGCACATGATCAAAAGTCTCCTCTACAAAGAAGAACAACACTAAATATTTTTGGTAAAGAAGTTGATTTGGGGGAAATCTGTTCCACAAACACAATGTTTATCATCAGAAGGCAATAAATATACCGCAGAGCTTTCGTTTGGGTTGTCGCATAACACTTTATCGGAAAGGGCTCATTAACGTCAACAGAAACTTGCATAAAGCTGTTTACAAAAAGGAGGGATAGACAACGTCCGTTCTCGATTAACTTAAATTTTTATCAGACTATTCTGGAATCGTGTCCCCAAACGAGATTCATGTTCGACATAAAGAAATTATTATAAAATTGGTGCTAAAATTTATTCCCGCAGAAACAGTGCCGGACGACCTGTTGAGAATTGTGATCGATTTGCCCAAATTCCGTCGAAGTTGATTTTCACAATCCCCTTACAAGTAGATGTGAAACGTTAGGTGGACAAAACTGTTAGCTGTCCTTTAGTCTTCTAACGCATAACAGATTATTGTTAGTGTATTAATTTTTTTCCCAAAGACGGTCACACTATTGATTTTAGCACAAGCAGAAAGCACAGTACCACCTGCTGCATCGTTGTGTCACTCCAGCAGCTTGTTGCGGTTTCGCTTTGTTGTGTTTCATTACGACGTGACAACATGAAATTTATTGCGGCGTTCTTTTTTTGTGCAAAGCAGCACAAAAAAAAAAAGCCAAAGAAAAAAGAAGTCACTACAGCATTATAGACTGAGCAAAACGCATTAAGTGACAACTTATGAAAAATATCATAAAATCCTTGTATCCAAAGATGACCGGTCAAAATGACCGGCCAGATGAGAGTTTAACCAGTCAAGTCCACGATCAGGCTAGACATTGTCCGTTGAACGGCAGTTATTTTGAGCCCTGTCATGATAAACAATAATTTCAATTTCACTTCTTATAAGACCTTACATCAGTTCTTGACATTCAACTGATCCACATGCATTTAACTTAACTCAACTTTTAAATACATTCTCCAGTTCATACATGTACAAGGTAAGTACATCGCATCTTCTACAAAATCAACTTCCCAGTTTATCATCCTTTAAATTATCAGGACCCCTGAAGGGCGTACTTTGGATTTCAAGTTACAGGGATGATCGGATGGGGGCAAAAATCAAAACCTAAAAAATCCCATGCCGAATTTCCGAACCATAAAAATTTCCAGAAAGCATTAAAATAATGATACATGTATAACACGAAAAATAGAAACACTGTCAGTAATGGAATGTTTGTGTTTGTTTACTCATCACACCTTCGGGAGTAAGAACCTTTTTCTACGGTGGCCCATATATATGTATGCAATGCACAAATAACAATTTCAGTGCATATATATTGATCTTAATACATTAATTTGACTTATTCAGTTCACAATTTCATTTTCTAATACACAGGCATGTTTCTCAGTACAAATATGTTTTTCAGTGCACAAATATATTTTTCAGTGCACAAATATATTTTTCAGTGCACAAATGTATTTTTCAGTGCACAAATATGTTTTTCAGTACACAAATATGTTTCAGCAAACAAATAAGTTTCCCAGTGCACAAAATTATTCCTGGCACCCAATGGGCTAAAAATGGCCAAAAGAACCTGGTACTATACTGTCATTGAGGCCTGGTCACATTGTTTGCCGCACCTTCGATCAGTCTCGTCGCAAATAGATCAAGCCTCAATCGAATGTGGTGCAGATTTAAGAAACCACCATAGAATAGAAATGCTAAAGATATGGATGAATTGCTCAGGTACTATTTTCAAAAGGGGTTTTCGTACAAAATATGTTGTTCTTTTTATCAAAGTATCGCGACACCATAATGTCTACACAAAGTCTTCTGCAACGATTGCATGACATGGGATTAAAATGAAGAAATATTTCCTACAACATTAAGGAAATACGACAAGAAATAGTTAAAATTTCAAGGGGCTGGGATGTTCATGAGGATATTGTTCGCATTGGCATGCTCTCAGGTTAAAAGGTATTCAAGTACCACGATGAGTGGTAGAGGAGCTTTGTCGCGAACTCGACCCTGTTGGCTGTCATGAAAGATTAAGGCTTACCGCCTACAGTGGCGACAGTATACGAATCCCGGATGTCCAAATGGCCCCTCTGCTCTTCTGACTTTCTGTCAAGAAACTTTCTGAATGTAGGGAACTGTTTTGCTGAAGGAGCTGCTTACAAGAAAACCTTGAATGGGACTCTCATGTAAAATCTGTTTAACACAAAGCTATGAAGATACTGGATCTATTATGTAGAAATTTTTCAGGAAGCAGCCAGTATGTTAATTAAGACCCAAGCATACAACTCTCTAGTGAGACCTCATGTAGAGTATGCCTGCCTCAAGCCCTTTTGAAAAACAACTCATAAAAGAGTTAGAGGCTGTCCAAAGTTGTGCTATAAGATTTGTCTGTTGAGATTATTCACAGTTTTCCAGCATAACTTATATGCAACATTCGCTGGGCTGGGACACTCTTGAAGTCCGTCGACAGCTAAACGCCGCTGCCATAATGTATAAAGCTGTGCACAACCAGACTCACTTAACATATCCAGCAATTCTGTCACCTTAGCTCATAGAAGCAATCGCTCTAACCATCCTCATAGTTCAGGCATATCTTTGCTCGCACCAATGCATATAAGTTTTCCTTTTTCCCACTTGTTCTCCCTCTTTGGAATGGCCTTCCCAATTCTGCTGTTAATGCTGAGTCTGTTACTGACTTCCAAGCGAATGCTTTCCCATCCATAAGACAATAGAAATGTAAATATTTATTTGTTGTAAATAATTTAATTTAGTGTTTTTTTTTGCCCCCTTTTCTATTTCATCGCTGACTGTTTTAGCATCCAGTGTACAGTCACATGACTTCTAGGATTAATAAAAATGTATGTATGTATGCTGGCTCCGAAGGTGATGCTCGCTTGCAGCTCATCTGGCTCGTGAGTGAGGCACTGCCAACAATGTTATCCCTAGAGGATAAAGATGTCTCTGCTTCAACTTTTGCTCCACAATTTGGGCAAAAAGCAAATGACAATTCCCAACCTTTGCCGCAATTCCGGCAAAACATGCTCAATCGATTAAAGATGGCTTCTATTTGCGACGAAACTGATTGAAAGCGAAAGCGCGCCAAACAATGTGACCAGGCCTCAATGACACATTACGGAACGGCACCTGTAGATCCGTGTCGCCCGCAAAATCACGGGTCCCATGACTATTTGCGCGCTCACAAAGGGAGCCGACGCATGCCGCGTCCTTTGATTCAAGACTCAAGTGTTAGGGTATTGTTTCCACGATACAAAGGTAATTTAACTTAAGAAAATCTATAGATCCAAGCTTTCGCACTACTCTCTTTTATAAGGAAATGAAAACGCTCAACTTGATAAATATTTTGACTTCATAACATATTTTAACGATTTAGGCCAGCAGAATGTATAGAATTCCAGGAAAACAATTCAGGAAGCCGAACGGTTTTGAACTGCGCTAGACGTTATTTTTATCAGTATGCAAATCACCTACCCAATCACTTACTTTCCATCGAATTGAAATATCCTGACTTTTTTTAACCACTTTTCGATTTGATTCGTTTCATTTTATATTATTTTGTGCAAGCTGAGCTCTTTCATGCGAATTTACGCTTTCAAAAGGAAAATAACTTCGAGGAAACGTTGTGTCTACAACCACGGCAATTTGTATCTATTTCGCTTCACTTACGCTTATATGCAAATTACTGTTCATCCGCCGGATTTCGCTGGAGACAAAAATATTGATTTTGAATTCCCAAATGCTTGCCTTTTGGGGCACCCCTTTTATTTTGGCTATCAAGATTTTAAAAGCTAAGCTTCAGACTTTTCATTCCAACGTTTTAATGCGGGAAAGCTTTAAGACACGCATAACTTGATCTTTCTGTTATCTTTTGTTCTTCTATTGTCTCCAAAACAATAACGATGTTTTACCAATTTCCACCTACAAATAATAGGACACATTTGATTGACAGAAAAATTTGCATTTACTAGCGACATGTATCTACAGGCGCGATTCCGTAATGAGTGTAGTCCCAGGGTCTTTCGGCCATTTTTAGCCCATTGGGTGCCAGGAATAATTTTGTGTACTGAAAAATATATTTGTGCACTGAAGAACATATTTGTGCACTGAAACATATTTGTGCACTGAAAAATACATTTGTGCACTGAAACATATATTTGTGCACTGAAAAACATATTTGTGCACTGAGAAACATGCCCATGTATTAGAAAATGAAATTGTGAACTGAATAAGTTAAATTAATGTATTAAGATCAATATTTATGCACTGAAATTGTTATTTGTGTATTGCATATATGGGCCACCGTATTTTTCACATATTGACCTGATTGATTGTGGTTTTGTGAAAAAGATGCAATGTAATGTGTTAAATATTGAAACAGTCACAAAAAAAGTTTGGTTTTACAATATATATTCATGCAAGATATGTGAGAACTACATGTATCATGAATCTTCAGATTGTTCTGAATACCCCAAAAAATCACTACTTAAAATCATCCTACTCAAAAAATACTCGCCAAAATTTTCCTACCCCCAAAAAACAGAAATCAAACATTTCAAAAAAAAATCCTTTGAACATCCCTGTCACTTGAAATTTTGGAGTTAACCCCCTGGAATCAGCGTCGGCTCTACTAGAGCCTGGTGGCCCCTAGTGCCTAACTTTTGCTAGGCAACTAGAAATCTTACTTTTTTCATACAAATTACAATATGCTGGCCAGCAACTTGGATTTTACCATTTCAAAGCACTGGACTACCTTTAATGTTCCTTAGAGCACAGCCTTGACTATCATTATCATTATTATTATCACTACTAAAATATTATTAAGTATGATTCAAAAGCTCACCTTAAAACTTTACCCTGCAAACACTTCTCACAATATAGATGCTCACATAACCCTGTTTGTACTACAAGTCGTGATACAAAACCGCAAGATGAACAAAAAAGATTTTCATCAAAGATTGCCAGGTCAACTTCAGGGACTCTATACCCGCAAGGATAAGACATAGTTATTATTGTTTGAAGAGTCTTTCACTACTGGAAAAAAAAAAGGAAACAATAATTAATAATTTAATTAAATTAAAAGGTAAATTTTAGAACCAAAGTTTTTAATTTTAAACTTTTAACTTTGACAGTAATTATAAATAAATATTTCCTTTGATAAAAAAAAAGCTCAATACAGGGATCCAATATTTGCAGTTGTCCGGTCGTCCCAGAAGACCACAATCTCATTCGGACAATTTAGATAAATCCATAAGACTAAGTCGTACTTTGGACGAGTGAGGTTTGGCTCAACCACAGAATCATTCAGAAGTTCTTATTATGATTTTATCGTTTACATTTCACCTACGTTCTGATTACCTCTCATCCACTTAAAACTTTTACAATGATGCATGGGCCATTCGCAGAAAACATGACAGTACTCATCAAGATGTGGTGTTTTTTGGAAGGTAATTCGCCGCCTCCGGCAAAAAACAAACAATCAGACAAAACAAACAAAAAAAGTGAAGCAGGCTAGGGGCTGCTGCCTTTTACGAGGAACAAGGTAAGAACACCATCTTGCCTTTCATAGCAAACTATCAGACCATGGCTTGTTTTTGTGCCCAAACAGAATGCATCCAAGTCATCCATAGTCACTAGGAGTCCCAGTCCACATCCTAAACAGCTATATCAGGGGGCAAAATGCTTTGCGACTTCTGTAAAAAAGCTTCCAAAATAGACAAAACTGTTGCCCATAACAATCTGTTTGTGGAGGGCTGCATTCCTGTTATCATCCAGCACTTTTGTCTGGGCAAACCAAATTGAAACGGGGAAAATATGAAATCACTTGCCAGTAGTTGCCTGGCTGACAACTCTAATAAAAAAGGAATATGGATCCCTGTCAATAAGCTCTTAAAAGTAATATATAATATAGAACATCATTGAGGTATTACAGTGAACTTTACTGTACTATTTAATTTACATCAGGATACAATGATTTCATTTGTGCCAAGTCTTCAAAGTTCAGAAACTAGTACGGGTACTGCATGGTAGAAAACCCTGCATAATTTCTATTATTTGATATTTAATAATATTAATTAATACAAGTACTGACATAAACTTCAAAATTTCACAGCAAATATTGCAAAAATGCATGGAAAAGTAATTAGGAAATTAATGGAATGTAAAATAACTATTTGACTGTCTAATTGGTATTCACTTAATCTTATATTTCTTTCTACATGTATATTGTCTGTGCCAGGTTTTATCCTTATAGGGTACAAAGCATATTTAGCGTACACCATGCCAGATTGAAAACCAGAAATCAAACAAATAAGTTACATGATAGTTCAACGAGTTGAAGGGCTGAAGTATGGGTTGAGCTGAAAACAGTCTTTGACTCAATTACATGGCCGGGAAAGTTCTCAGTTAAATAAAATAAAATATGGGTTTGCCTCTAAATAAAAAAAATTTCTGCCATTGTAAATTATTTATCACAAAACAGATGCAAAAGCAACAGCCAGAGCTACAATCAACGTCAAAAGTGCTGGGAACGCTGCTACTTTTTACTTCTCTTGTTTCTTGTTCCCCTCGCCCCTGGTCCACGACACCTATGTTGAGTAAAATGTTTGTGCTTGTGCCCATAATATTATTGTTCTGATATTCATGTATCCCTATACTGAATTAGGGGGACAGTGAAAATTTATAAAAAAAGAGACTTCTAAAAATCTTTTTTCGAGCATTTAAATGAACTACTGTTAAAATTTTACAATCTTCCCAGCTACTTTTGTCTGGGATTCTAGGTTGATGACATCATTGAGGATACCAAGAGATATACAGGAAATAAAAATATCTGCCTCCTTCCTTGTGAGATTGACACATGTCCATGCACTATACATATTTTAAGAAATTTATAAACCTTTTCCATTTCTTTCCTATTTTTATTTAATAAAAACGTTGCGTCAATTTAATAAACATTTATTACACAACTCAATCATGACACACCCTTTCATGTATAGACACATACGATTACAAAACAACTTTGCCTTACCGCTGATAAAACAACAGTGTCAAAATGTTTTGCATAAGCCTGAAGCCTGTGCATCAGCAGACTGAAGCCCAGTGTTCCCTTGTTCAATTATAGTTCTGTATTTAGGGCAATCAATAGTTCCGCAAAATAATGGAGTCCTAAAGTGTATGTGTATATTAATTCAATTCAACTCTTGACAAACATCGTGTAAAAAATTTTGATTGTTAAGGCCAAAAAAAGGATCGTTTAACAAAACCTTAGAAGATTTTACCAGTGTGTACATCCGTCAAACAAATTCCCGTGTATAGAAAACCTTTGTGATTTAAGATAATAGATATATCTAACTGATTTCAAGCTAACTAGTACACATGTAGGTCGAGGAATTACTAACGTCAACGTTATCGCGTTTATTACAGCGTTAACAATGTTCACGTAAACGGTTCACACGTTGAAAACCCAATTTCCACCCGTTTTACATTGGCCATGAACCAGAATGAAGTAATTTTTACCAGAGCAAAGTCCTTCTAGATAATAACGTACATTGTACCGCTCAACATAGACAACCGGCCCACATGGCTCATCGTGTTTATCTATTTTAATTATATGATATGGCCTTCCAGTGTTCTTTCAATGATTTCAGAGCAACCATTTCAGTTTAGAGGTTAAAACATTCAAAAAGACACACTAAAAAAGGTGCCGATATTTAGCAAAAGAGACAACAACTTACCACTTCTCCGTTGTCGCGATTTACGTGAAATATAATTATTCAAGATGGTGTTTCTCAGCAAAACCTTGTCAAGATCACACCTTTGGGGAATCCCCGATCCCGTGACGTGACCGCCTAAAAGATTCAGTCGATCGGTGAACATTGGTGGAGTCGAGCACATTGTCGCAAATTATATCTTTCACGTTATCTGCCATTATCGACCCCAGAGCACTTCTCTATTGCGTATGCCAAAATATAGCCTCTTCCTTCTGGTTGCATTTTATATAGCGTCTCTGGTGTGTTAACGTTAATTAATAAAACCCAAGCTAAAGATTCGTTAAAAACTCCTTTTCTGTCCGCCATGAGCCATGAGCCACGAGTCGCCATGTTTATTTTTTGCATAATTACAAATTAAGCCGAGTGACTCTGGGTACGAGAATGGACGACATTGGACTCACCGGGAGCCCCCACTCGCAGGTCCATACAGGTCTGCACTCGTTAACATCCGTCGAAAGGCCTTCTTATCTTCGGTCGGATTTCGTAAACGTATGACGTCACGCTCGCCTCGAAGTTTAATATGTGATTCATCTGCACTTCGATCGTCTATATCGGACTTGTTTGATTTTTGGTGAGAGATTTTGTCCCACTTTTTCGATCATTCCTCGATTGATTCCAATCAATTCAAACAAGAAGATGCCACTGCCTCCGTTTAAAGGATGTTTTGATGTTTCCAACCTCTTCTTACTCCGCGGGGAAAAGGACCTTTCAGTGGGTGTTTGAATAACATCCTTTGAATGGCCCCAGATCACCAGGCTGTGTATCTTAAGGTGACGGTTACACATTATCACTTTCCTTATTGAATATATGTACAGTGTAAAAATCGATTTTGAGATAAATATTAGCGATAAAAAATCACGACGTTTCGACCTCTCCGAGGTCATTTTCAAGTGTATAAAAGTTCTCTAAATAGACCTTGTCACGGTTTTCGACGCCATCTTGACGAGTAGGCAAACGCGTGAGAAATTACAGTGTTTGTATGAGAATCTAATGTCGAATAATTTCCGTAGAACGGCTGTTCTGAAAAAAATATCTATTGTAAACTAAAGCTTCACTCCTAAGGATTCTCCTGAAAAAATTTGAGGGCGTTATATGCACTAGAAGACCTAGAACCACTTTTTACAATTTTCTATACATTTGTCTGTAAGAAAGTCCCGGGAAAATTACAGACAAATATATGGAAAATCTAAAGCAAGCCTCTGGAGAAATTTAAGCAAGGTACACCCCCCAAATTTTTTAGGACAATCCTTTGCTTTGTAGCTTTAGTTTACAATTTAGATATTTTTTTCAGAACAGCCGTTTTACGGAAATTATTCGACATTAGATTCTCATACAAACACTGTAATTTCTCACGCGTTTGCCTACTGGTCAAGATGGCGTCGAAAACCGTGACAAGGTCTATTAGCATAAATAAGTTAAAAACAAGTTATAATAGATAAAAATGTGGTGAACGCTAAAATGTGATAAAATATGTAAAAATGTAAAAAGTGCTAAAAATATTTATAAAGTCAAAAAACAATGGAAATAAAACAGTGTTAACAAGAACTACTCTAAACAAATAATTTGGCGCGAATTGAATCGCACTGTTTGTTAAGCGTCGGTTTCAGTTCTTGGATAAAAAACATTTCAAAAATAAGACAGTCAAATTTGTTCTGACACTTTCTTAAGATTCTAAAACTTTGTGCGATGTCTTCAGGCTCCATATCATGCTGCTCTCTGAGGTGGTTTCCGATTGCCGATCCTTTGTGTTCTTCAATTCGTTGGTGTAGGTGTCGGCACGTGTAGCCGACATAGCCTGCATCACACAGGCTACACTGGAAAGAATACACCACGCATTGTTGACTCACAAGAGGC